ATCAATCGTTGGAATGCAAATGCAGTGATGCAAGTCAATAATAAGCGAGACGCGTGTTTATGCGAAAAGTGCATTCTTCGTGATAACTTTTGAATTAATCAATTTTCGATCTAAGTATCTTAATAATTTTATATATAGAATAATAGACATCAAGGAAAGTGGAGAGGGTAATGAAAATTTCAATGCTACCTCCACTTTCTTAAATAGAACTGCATATTATTTTTACGCGAGACGATTCTTCGAAAGATTCTGTATAAAAAATTATGACGGTATGATGTTAAAAAAATCAACAGTTCGTGAGATATTTCATCCAGAAATTTGAAATTGTTGATTTTCAATACTCCTTTACGTGGATTATTTGCTTTTCTTCTTTTTATAGATTTAACAATACGGTCTATAAAAATCGTTTATCAGACAATGTTTGCCATCTAAAATCATTTTACGAGACAGAAATTTCAGAAAAACGACGATATTACATAGGTATTCTTCTACCGGAACGACTATGTTCCTGAGCAGAATAAAAATAAATCGTCATTCGCAAAATAAAACCGGTTCCCTGAACTTTATGTCGGCTTTAACAACGATAATAATAGAATTTCTCGAGCAAAGTTGAACAGTACCATTCCTATTCGGCCACTATTCTCCCATCCTCCTCGGTGTTCCTCGAAGACACGACCTTTTGTTCCTTTCACGAATCAACCGAACACAATAAACCCGTTGCACTTGCCACGAATTCCGATCGTACGGATTGCACAAGCTCCCTTTTGATCTTTCCTCGGTTCGCGTGATACATGGAACTAATCGCGTTCCCCTGTAACGGTGAAAGGCCAGACGTCTCGATTGATGCTTCAATATCCTGGTAAAAATCGCGATTTTCTGGGAATCCGTTGTGTCTGCCGCACCTACGCGTTGCACACGGTGCATTGCCCCGTTTACACCGCGTAGGCGTATTTCATGCAACAAGTTACGTACGAGAGAGGAGGAAGCTTATGGGATCCCATCGACGAAGAAAAGAAGAGAAAATCTGATTGTTGGGTGAAAATAATTTCAGCTTTGAACTGAACATTTTTTATTATTTTTCGTTTCTTTTGGTACGAAGAAAGCTTATGGGATTAACCAGTAAAAAACCTTTTTTAAAAATACCGAAATATTTTACAAATAATAAAATAATTAAGAAAATCAATTTATGAAATTAAACATGGTTTAGAGTAACCATGAGACGGAATGCAAAAAGGTTAATTGACCCTCGGTTAAAAACCAAAGACTTTTTTGAAAAATATCGAAACATTATACAAATTATAAAAAAATTAAGAAAATCAGCTTTCGACATTAAACAGCAGAGTAACTTAGAAACAAGGGCAGAAGGGTCAATTGACCCTCTATTGAAAATCAAAGACCTTTTTCAAAAATACCGAAATATTCTATACAAAATAAGAAGATTAAGAAAATTAGATTTAATATTATCAGAATATTGATAGGGTATTAAAAAAAAAAAAGGATTTTCAACCCCTTATAGAACAATTATGATTGCGCCACTTTAAAAGGGTGTTGGAACGAGGAATTTATATGCTAATTGTTCGACTGGTGTTTGTCACGAGCAAAATTAGCTCAGCAGGGAAAACGTTTTAACGAACTTAATTAAACACAGTATCGTAACACTGTAATGGAATACCCTGGGTGTGTTCCTCGTTTCACGGCATTGTTGTCACGCGATCTAAAAATACAAATATAATTCTCTGTGCGCTAAATAAGAAATGTAGTTTCACGAGGAAATATCGGAATAACAGAAGTAGACGACGCGATGATAATCGGTTTAAAGGATTTCATCGAGCTAGCTGCTCGATTTATGAAGAAAGAAGAGCACCGTTCGGATGATCCGAATGATTCGTTACTTTCTTGAGCTAATTTACGTAGAAAACGGCACGGCAGGCCGTTGAAAAGTATCAAATTAGATCGACAAAAGCGCGATTCATCTGCCTCGTATTTTCTGCCCTGCCGCGTTTCTAGTCAATTTAACGCTCGTGATGTCTGTAATTTTCTTTTCGTTTTTTTTTTTTTTCCTCCCGCCTGGCCTTTTTTTTTCTTCTTTTTTATTTCTCTTTTCTCAGCCGCGTGCCGGCGAAGAATTCGAAAATGCGGCGCATTCATGGCCGAGTGAGTAAGCCTGTCCGAGTTTAGACGCCTTTCTCTGTACTCTGGCTAGTTTCGACGGATCTTTAAGCCTGATCTTTACGAGAAAATACACTGGTGGAATTAATTCTGGACACTTTGAATAAAAATATTCCTTATTTCATATTTGTGCAGAAAATGTATATTCTGATATGCTAAATTGATACCGTAATATTTTTATTGTTATCTATAATGTTTATACTTAATATTTTTACATGATTTGGTTTGTAAATGTTTGAAAATTTCAATTAAAAAAAAAAAAAAAAATCTAAACTGTGTCGTTATTTTTGTTTTTGCGCCTGGCAACACGAAACGTCGCATGATGTGAAATAGCCAACCACAGGATGAAAGGATGAAATAATTTCTTTCTACCTCCTTTGATGTGTTGAAATTGTAATTTTTATTGTATATTATAAGTATGGCTGTAAATGGTATCTTTACTGATTTTTTTTTTCTAATATAAATTTTAAAATATACATGATTATATATTAAATAATTTGAATAAATGCGAAATTTAAATAAAAATTTAAAAGTGTCCAGAATTAATTCCACTAGTGTATTTTCAAATCAACAATCGTCTCTTCAGTTTTAATTATCTTCGAAAATCATTTTTTAAACGATGCCTCTGTTAACCCATTAACCCTTTGACTGTGAAATCACGCACGGTAACAGGTTACTGTTATTACCTGTGTTTTTGTATCATCATTAATCATCGCTTCGTTATCATATACAGTCTGATCCACGCAACTGGAACGAATTATACTTTTTTCTGATTGCAATTAGAAAAAGTGAACGGTTCGAAAATGATTGTAGATATCTTTAAGATCACGTTTCTTTTGCACGTGCATCGATGCATCTGCATTTTACAACTACATAATCCTTTTATACTTTTATTGAAACAATTTTCTTTACATTTTCTTTTTAAATATTCAGAGCAGTTTGAAGTTTCCAAAATATTCTTTGGAAAGGTTTTAAAATATAAACCACTGCGCTATAATAGGAGGGTGAACAGGAATGGAGGATTAAATTTCCTTTGTCCAGCTGCGAGTGTAGCGCAGGATCATCGTCTTCAAGAACCATTTCGTTCGTTTTTCCCGGACAAAAATGAAATTCATCCAGCAAGCAATGCAAGGAATGTCGCCGTGAATCAGACGCGTTCGTACGCCCGCTAAAATTGGAACTGGCTGGCGTCATAAGCGTAAAAAGCCGCGTGGAAACGCGGCTTTCTATCCTATCTTTCATTTGGACGTCGATTTTAAATGTTTTTCCAAAATCAAATAACAAGAAAAATCAAAAACATCCAATATACTACATCTCTTTCAAAATTTTCAATTTCCAATTCCCAATTACCAAATTTCTTAATTTCTAAATTTACTTTGCAACTGTTGATCTTGCAACAAAGTTAGAAATCTCCATTAGAAAACAGCAGCGATTCGCGTTGGTCCAATTAGAAACATAAAGGATATTGCGAGAGACCAGTCTGGTTCCCGTGCAACGATTTTGTATCAAATCCTTAACGGTATCGGGGAAAAAAAGGAAACCGCAAAGTCTTTTGATACACATTGCGCTCGCGAATACCAGTGATGGATCTAGAAAATCAAAGCTGAATCACGCTGCTCGATATCTATATCGATTCTGAGGCAATCGCTTCCGGTAATTAAGTTGCATGATCGATGGTAAATATCAGCTCGCCAGTCATCAGAACAACTATTACGAACTTATCATGTTTATTCAAATATTTTTATCTTCTTTCACTCTTTAGATTTCAATCGATAAAATAAGAAATTCTGTTTACCTATATTACTTTTCCAAAGTTTCCTTTCTTCTCCCCATCGCTGTTTTTATTTCATTAAACTAGTTTCTCTCGTTAAATAAATACATTATTTAGCAGAGTGATAACAAACGTGTTTAGCAAGGCATTTTATTAATTTAAAAAATGACTAAATGAAAAATTACGAGTTGTTAACCGAAGACTTCGTGTATGCTAATTACAGGTTTACTGTAGAATTCGTGCAGTCGAATGAGTAACGAGCACAGACCAATTAATACGATCTGGAGAAGAAAAAAAATTTCTCGAAGGCACAGTCGCGGCACAGTAAAATATCCACTTGGTGTTTCATTAATACTATCACCGTATAACAAACTAGAGTAAATATGTTCAAACAGCCGACATCGATCGGTACATAGGAAAAAAACTGCAACTTTACCCGAGGAAGCCCGAAGAAAGAAGCCAGGAATGTGTATATGTCGATTATGAGAAATACTATACCGCATGACGTACAATTTAATTAAAAGTCATTTTCTCTGTTTAATTTTATTTTGCATACTTGAACGTTGCAATTTCTACTAATTATATTTCTTATAAACGAAAACTTGATAACACGTTAATTGCTCTTAATAATTAAAAGAGAATAATAAGAAAATATTGAAAGCGTAAATTAAAAAATTCCTACTTCTAATAATTTTTACAAATTTAATATATCTTGCAACAAGTGCTGATTATCGCTATAGCACTCGATACGTCAAATATCTTTTTGAATTGACATATCAGAAACGTTATTTGACACGAAGGAGTGAATCGACGACTCCAGGGACTTCCTGATCGGGATTAGTGTCTGGAGTTTTTCCGTTTCCTCGATCGAGGAGCAAGAAAAGCCGAAAGGAGAGTGGAGGTAGGTTATTGCGACGCCGTGGAATCGAGCCGATCCCATCCTGAATCACGATGGATGAGTAGAGAAATAAAAAAGAAAAATAAAAAGGAACGAGACCAGGCGACGGGGAGAGCCGTCCTTCCCGGGTGATTCACCGGGTTTGCGGTTTGGTTACTTCAGTCTGTACCTCGCAGACACGAGTACGGACAAGTGGTTCTCATCGTCGAGGCGAGAAATCTAGTGATCCTTTAGAACTTGAAGAACTCGAATTTCATCGGAGACTGTATTCATTTTTAAAGGGCGTTAAAAAGAGGGTCTCAGATTCACAGGGTAGGTTGAACCTAGGGTATTTCTTAGATACTAAATCAACTCCTATTATCCAGGATATTTAAAAAATTGGGGATTCTATTTCCAAAAAATTTTAAACTAAGAATCACGAAAGGTTAACCCTAGAAAATGAACCCTAGCGGAGAGTTCTAGGGGAAAAGTACATAACCTTTCTCCACTAGCTTCTTCCCTAGTGCCAAAAGTACCAACACTCTCCTTTAAATGTCCCTACACTCTGCCATCAAGGAATTAATGTTCTGGACTTATCTGACACACCTTAACTACAGGTCGTCCAAAAAGGTTCTCCTAAAAAGGTCACGCGACTGCAACGAAGAAAAAGAAAGAAAAACGTGTCGATTGCATAAGCTTGGTCTGGCGAAGGAAGGATGATTCTTGTTGGCCGACTGTGGCGACACACGACGAGCAGGGTAAGCGTGGAGCCGCATGGCAACAGCGGAACCGTGTTAAAATATCGCAATAAGGTATTAAACAAAGGAATCCGGGAGGAGCTGAAGCAAGACCGCGGTTACTGAAGCGAAACTGAAGGCTGAAGCGTTTCTTCGTCTTGAAAGGACTCGTTCGAGCCTTCCTTCCATTCACAACCACGATTCTTCCCGGCTCCTTTTCAACGATCGTTTCACCGTCTATCCTCGACTAACTAACCGGGGTCTTTGCTCTACACCTCCTCACCTGGCTCTAATCTTTCGATCGGGACACGTTAGATCCGTTTTACTGATACAACTGTTAACGATTATTCCCACCTACCAATGAACACCCGATACTCTTTATCTTTCTACCTTGTGATTTTAAAAACAATCGCAATTACTACATTTCTCATAATAAAAATTGTAAATCGAGGGGAATAATATTTTCAATACAAACAGTAAAGCTCATATTGAAGAGATCAAATTCGCTAAAGAAAAATTAAAAATCAAGCTAAACTAAATAGAGTAGGAGGGTTAATACTTTTTATTTTTTTACTTAGTGAATTTAAAAATAATCGCAATTATTATATTTCTCATAATAAAAATTGTAAATCGAAGGGAATAATATTTTCAATACAAACAATAAAGCTCATATTGAAGAGATGAAATACGTTAAAGAAAAATTGAAAATCAAGCGAAACTAAAAAAAGGTAGGAGGGTTAATACTTTTTATTTTTTTACTTAGTGAATTTAAAAATAATCGCAATTATTATATTTCTCATAATAAAAATTGTAAATCGAGGGGAATAATATTTTCAATACAAACAGTAAAGCTCATATTGAAGAGATCAAATTCGCTAAAGAAAAATTGAAAATCAAGCGAAACTAAAAAAAGGTAGGAGGGTTAATATCCGTGTAAATAAAAGAAGGAAAACGGGGTCCAAGTGACAGCGCGACGTCTAAAGTGCAGCTGCAAGTGGACGAGCGTGCAGTGAATTCCGAGTGCGTCTAATTAAAAGTCATCTGCATATTTATGGACGAGGAAACGCGGAGAAAGGGGCGGCGCGGTGGATTAACGCGGGGAAAAGCAGAGAAGAGCCGCAGCCTGTATTAAAGAATAAAGGGCGAAAACAAACAAGCGGAAGAAACGTACGTCTGGTTAAAGTGGCCGTGGCCACGCTTACTACTTTCATACACGGCGGCGAGTATAAATAACCGGCCATGTTCGCTTCAAACCGTATAGTAATTAAATTTTACAGCATCAAGTATCCTATAAAACAACATGTAACCTCATAATCTTTTTATGTTTTTATTATTACTGCCGTCAAAGGACGATGATTCCATTTGAGATAATTAAATTATTTATAAAAATATAATTTAATTGTTGCATGCACTTTGAGAAATCGCAGTTCACCGATGGCTAATGGTTTTCGTGTAGAACAACAGCGATAATTACACGGTTCGTGACCGAGAAGTATATTTTCACAGACTACTGTAACAGAGTTTCGCGGAGAAAGAGATTTCCGGGCTCCTTTCAATGAACGGCCAACATTCTCATGCTGAGAAAATATATGTTTCACACGACGACGATCATCGTGCGTTTCTCTTCCTTTCTTGAACCTCTTCCAAAAATCTAGCCACCACCATTCAACACGTGGAACGTTATGTCAGAAATACGATCATGCAGCAGTATAGTCATAATTTACTAATAGAGGGGACAACAATTATTTTCTAACCCCCTTTAATTGCGCTACTGCAATCATGAATGGTTGAAAAAATTTTTTAATGAATTTTGTTTCATTTATAAAAACAAATATTCGAATAAATGATTTATTGGAATTTCAACCGAGTCACTCAATATCGTTAACGTTATTTTCCATTTTCGTATCGTCACGATTGGTAGATTTACCGCATTCCTCGAAAACTTTCTAACAGTAAAAAGATGACAACTTTGTAACTGTTGTTACAAATATTTATCGTTCCAACAGAAGACCGTATCGGGGAGAAACTTTTTGCCAGAATGTTGAATTCCAAGAAATATTTGAAAAAGTGGAGATTGCTCTCATAGTTGGTAACTGTAGGACATATTTAGTCGGAAACGAGGGACGTTTAAGTAATTATGGTGATTAAATCGAAGAAGAGCTCGACATCTCGGCCAAAACCGTATGCGTTCATTCACTGGAGGAAGTGACGTCAGAAGGGAAGTCTTTCGATGCAACCTTCCTACCGGTTGCGCTTAACGAGTCCAACGACAATGTTGCAATCGGACGGAGGAACTAGAATTTTTCAATTATTATCTAGTTTTTAAAGGGAAGTATCAATTTTAATGCAATTACTTTGCATTCATTCATTTACAAAATTAGAATAATTTGAATATTAAATATTTCTCATAATTTGTATAAATATATATAAGTGAAAATTTAGAAAATTTCAAATATTCGAATTTTACAAATAAAAAAAATTGAAATTGAAATTCTAACTTGAAAGCAGTAGTACATATTTGTTTTAGCTAATTTATAAAAGAAAAAAGAAAATTAAAAAAAAAGAAAAAACACGTTAGACTTCAAAACTTACCAAAAGAGATTATAACCGATCAGAAGAGGATCCACGCGATCGATATCCTCTTCCAGTCGCACGCGCGTACACTCAAATCACTGGGAACCACTAAATTCGACAATAAACAACTTAAACAAAGACGATCTAATAACCCGAATACGTATGAAAGGCTTTGGAAACGAAACTCTCTACTCTCCCTAAAGAAATTGCCGATTCACTTTATTTTTCAATTCTAAACCTCGTCGACGATAATGAATTATATAGGGTATACATAAATGGACCACGATTGACCGGAAGGAAATATGGATCCCGGTGAGAAGGCAGAAGGTGAGAATCGTCGGTGTTGCTTGACAGACGACCTCGCAAACGAATGACGAACGAGCGAATGCTTGGAGGACCTGTAGGCATCGACTCTTTTGCCGGAGGACGAAGGAAGAGGCAGACAGGCAGCGAGCCACGGCGCAGGCTGCACACCCGACATTCGAACAACACCGGCGGCGATCGACCGGTTTCCGGGGGAATTCGCCAACAATTATTCCTCGCACATTAACATTTTCAAATACTATTCAATTTATCTTAAAAAGTGAAAGTTCGACGTTAAAATTCAACCATATCACAGGATAGTACAGACGATATCAACCATATCACAGGATAGTATATTTCTCTTTATACTTTGAGGGAACACATTTGATAAAATTAATGAATTTTTATACCGAATTAAAATTAAAATAAAGGAATTTAGATACTGTGCTGATAAAGCCTGCAATTAGTTAAAATTTGTAAATATGAAGAATTTAATGCAACTAGGTAGAAGTCAAGGAGGGTCAAAGTTCAAAAATTCTAGATTTTAAAATATTCCAAAATTTCAAAGGAACCTGCCTCACCTCGGAAGAAGATCCAAGTTACGCGAATTGGTGCTATCTTATCGTTAAAATATTTATTTGATAATTGATTTATACCGAAGTAAATTATCTCAGACTCAGACACCACAAGTTTCATCTTCGTGGTAAGAAAAAGCAGGTGAAGTTGACAGTTTTTCCCTTCGTATCGGGTGTCTCTACCCTAGACGAGAGAGCTTTATACGCCAGCGTACTCTTCCTGCTAGGATGCACTCGACGGCCATGCTGGTTCAGACATTTCCATCTTTTTCTATCTCACCAGTGCAAGCCGGCTTTCAATTTTATTTCGTTCCTCAATCATACGCCGTACTTCGTCCACGGATGCTGCAATGCGGCTTTGCCCCTCATCGATTCTACTAACGTTGCTTTTTCATCATCGAGATGTAATGATACACTCCATTTCAAGGATATTCAAAATTATCCCGACATTTAAATAGCAATATTTAATTTTAATAAACAAAGATTCTGATTATTATGATTGGTGAAAAGTTTAAGAATCATTTTTTCTGTGCAAAATTATTTTAGCAAGACAGTTTCTATAATTTCAAGAATAAAATTTATTGTATTTAATTTTTTATAAATCATCTCTATGCAGAATTGAATAAAAATTTCTAAGGCCCAGGTCTGTAGCCGCCCCTCTTGAACCTCCCCTTAATATATAAAGTAATACATCTAATATTTTCAATGTAACGAACAAGACCACAATTACATAAATCATGAAGCGTATAACATGCTAAACAGCGAATGTAATAATTTCCCAAAATCATTAATTGAATTGCTAAAAAATTAGACAGCCCGATGAAAGTTTCACGCACGAGTCAAAGACGGCGCTTTCATTAGCTAGTTGATCAACGTGTCCGCCTGTAACACAGCGTGCCACTATTTTATCCAACTAATGGCTCTTAGAAAATGCGAAATAGCCAGAAGTAAGTGTTCCATGGCTGATCAAAATTCTCCTCCGCGATCACGTTAGCTCGACCGTGGGTAATTACGGTTGGCCACATTACAGATTAAATCGCAACTACCAATCAACTTAAAGGGAAATTTCCGTTTTCTTGAGAAGAAAAACCCCGATTTTCGGTCTTACAGAATTTGTAAATCGACTTTTAAGAATTATTTTACTGAGCTTAAACCACCTCTGTCCGATGGCACAATGGTGTCATTAAAGGATCAGAGTCTCGGTTCCAATTAACCGTCGAAAGTTATTCTAATCAAGCAACGACATAAATGACACCCTCTATTGTTCGGGATACGCTTAAAGTGATCTAGCTGCGATCCTGTTAAATATCTAATGAAGAAAGACGAGAAACGACGACGTGTATATCGATGTGCCACGTGGCCGCAACACGCTCCTGCAATTAGGCTTAGGAATTGCTATTGTGTGCAGCTTGACCCCCTCAAAACAGAATCTCGACAATGGGAATGCGAGCAATTTGCCGAGGGCAACTGGCCCAATTGCAGCTCGATCAGGAAATTGGGCAAACTCTGGCAACGAAATTCTCCAAATTATTCCAAGCTTCGTTCCAATTTCCTAGCGAATCGAACGAGGGGCTGCTTTTTCTTCCGCTTCGTCGAATATCAATATTGAATCGTTATTATTTGTATGGAGAACGAATTCGTTCGCAGCCTGATGTATTAAAACTCCGAGTTAATTATATCATAATTTTTGTAAATATAATCACTCGAGTGAATTTTGTATTAATTTATTGACACGATGTCTGAAAGGTATCGTCATGCCTAAATTAATAAAATGGATGAAGATGTGTCGAGGTAACTTTACATCGAGTAGAAAGAATGTTCACGAAATGAGAGGCAAGCTATTTATTCCGATCCCCGTCCCTGAAGCAACAATAAGCAGAGCATGACAACGCCATGAAGAAAGACTGGACACTGTTTGTTGGCATGCTTGGAAGGAGTACGAATCGTTACAAGATTCGTCGTTACCAGCACGAAATTCCTTGCAAGACAGCGTTCTCCTTACTTTCTCGAACTATCGGACACTCATCTTTCCCCTTGCGATTAGCAATCGCGATTCGTAGTCTAATTGAACGAAAGAATTTCACGAATAGAAATCAACATCAACGAAAAATTAGAATTTAAACGTTTCAACTTTTACCATTCGATAGATATATTTTTTCTTATAGATAAATTTTTCCATCCTCCAAGCATCCTCGGTTTTCAAACAAAAAATTTTCATTCGAGTACCGAGCAGAGATAATTGAATTAATCACGACTTAACGTTTCTCGATAATTTCGTATGGATCTGTTCCATCGTGGCTCTATAATTACTCGCTTCGATTGTTCCCCCATTCGTGATACGGAAATCGTCTCGTCTCCGTATCTTGGATATAATAAATCAAGAAAATTAATGGAACATAACTAAGCACCTTATTCGACAGGCGATAAAGAAGAGCATCATTTTCTCTTAATTTTCTACTGAATTCCTTTTACATCTACCGCATAAATAATTTATTTGCACTACTGTATTGTCATTGCAAATTAGGCTTTAATCCTGTTACGCTTTCGTTACCTTAAAGCGACAGATCTTTATTATTAATGGTAAAATAAGACGCATAAGGTGCGTCGTCGATTTCAAACGCGTACAGCATAAGACGCATAAGGCGCGTCATTGGCTTTAAGACTATCTAATAATAAGAAATAACCATATACTCACTCGGATTTCGTCGTATCTCATGGTAAAGGATAGTCAGTATTTCCGCAGGTTCCAGGTGATCGGTTAATCCATCGGTGGCAAGAATCAGGAAATCCTCGGTGCCGTCTAAAGTAACAGAGTCAACTTCTGGATTGCCAGTCACGAAGGGTTTGTAAAGAACATCGCCTGAAACAAAATAAAAATCTTTCGTTACAAAAATAAATCTTTAAATCTATCAAGAAAACATAACAGATACCGATGGATTTCCTTCATGGTTACATATCTGAATGTGTAACCGTACCCAATTTCATTCATAGATGTATAGTTGAAGGATGAAAAAAAAAAAAAAAAACCGCATAAATTTATAATAACCGGAAGCGTCTATGTTACGGCGGTGCCATTATTTAAATTAGCTATACCATTCATTAAATAGATAATTAAAGTTAATTACGGTCTAGTTGAATACTAATACACCCCACGCTTCGACCGTCGCGTGTTTTTCAGATGTAAAAAGCATCGCTTACGTGTGCTGGATAACTGTAACAGCTATCTCGAATTCCATAAAATTACGCGTCATGGAGAATGAAGTTCTCTCTCTTTTCTCCCTTTGCTCGATATCACCTCGAATACCAAGAACAGGAAAATCGTTGTTTCTCTTCAGTAACGTTTGAAATGTTATCTAAACAAGGTGTTACCTTTCCGATAGACTTCTAAGGATCCATTGATAATGATTTCTCAATTATTTTATAAAACCCATGGATTGCGTCGTCCGTTTCACGCACATACATCGTAAGACGCATAAGGTGCGTCGTTGGTTTTACGCGCATACGGCATAAGAAATATTATCGTTTTTAAACACTAATTGATTGAAATGTTTTCTGGATTAATAATTAAGTAAAACGAATCTCGAAACAATCAGCAGAAAGTCATTTTTATTTCCATCGCAATCATCGGCTGATCTTGAACTTGATAAAAATGTTAAATCAAACGTGGATAAGACAATTACATAGAAAGTGTGTTTAATCAGAAAGTAACCTGATAAAAGTAATTTTTAAACTTCGCTAAAAGGAATAATAGATTAAATAATAATACTATATGTCATAACTAGATGGAAAAATTATCACAATTACGTTATTATTAATGTTAAACCCTACTCGTACAAAAATTAACTTACTTTCATTTCTTAATCGTTCATGCTTAACTATTTGACCTTTTTTTTTTACACCGAAAACATTATTTGAAACATAAATTACAGCTCGAAAGTGTACAGACCAAATTTTTCCGCTGTGTTGCTCGCAAAACAGGTCATGCCTCGATACAATCATAATTATGATCCTATCGGGTAGTTTTCTCGGTTCAACACACTAGAAAAGAGGAGCACAATTTTCAATTTCTCTTTGTCGTTTGATGATAATTAACGACTATGTTGCGTGTTTTCTTATTCTCGAAAATTAGACGTTCCGTTCAAGGTAGACCGAAAGAACGTTTTAACATAATGAATATAACTTCGTTCTTTCTAATTTATACACGAAGAGTCCACTGTCTTGTAATATATACAATCAGCTTAAGAAATTAGAAATTTTTCATACACTAAAACACATCATTTATCAGTTGCAAATAAATGATAATAGAGATTACGGTTGAACTTTTCTTCGGGGGCCCAAAAATTATGTCTTTTTTTGTTATCTACCTGATCTAAAAATTCAAGTTTTAAGGCGCGGAATTCACCGAGTAAAAATCCACTGTGTAAAACTAAGCGTTTTTAGCATATTTGACAGGTTATTTCGACGCCAAATTGACTCTTCTCCACATCCAATCCTTAAGCTTAAGGATTCTGCTGGCAGCCAGTTGGATTCTATTCGTTGGGCGTGAGTACCATCAGTTCCTATCAAATCCGAGGGGATATTGTTTATAAAAAAAAAAACTAACCTTAGGTATACCGGGTTTAAGCCACCACTTATGTAAGTCTGTTTTACCGACGCCGACTCTATTCATTGGACGACACAGGCTAAAAACGCTCAGTTTTACACGTGCATAACTTCTGAACTGGTGGATTCCGCGCTTTAAAACTTGGATTTTTAGATTCCACTCGTTAAATACTTCAAGGAGATAAAAAAAAAGGCAATACTCACTGTTTCAATATTTGAACATAAACCGATCGCGAGTCATCAATTGCACTCATCATGGTAGTCTGGATGGTTTAATTAGTCGATAAGAAGCCATCAAAATTTCGCGACGGTGAAAAGAAATTCCAGCTAACGACCGACCCTTTGAGACACGCGTCTTCTCGCGGTGCATAAACGGCTTAATGGGCTGTTAATTATTCTGGGCATGCGATTTGTAGAAGGCACAACGGGTAAAGCGTGCATTGCTCGAAGCATGGCTGCACGTATTATTGTGTCAGCGGTCGAACGGAACCAACAGGATACCCGACACGCGTCCAGAATTATTTTTTTCTACTCGTTTTATCCGCGGTACCTAAAGCCGTAGTTGGCCACCTGCTGCTACAAATTTGCACACCACTAGTGATGGGCGATACAGTATCGAAATTTGGAATATCGATATTTTGTATTGATATTTAACATGACGATATATTGCAGTATCGATACTTAATATATGAATATCGAAATTTCGATACAATATATGTACAGTAAGGAGAAAATTAGATAGAAAAATATTTTGTAGCAATAAGTAAACGTAAATTAGATATAAACTGTTAACAGGAAGATTTATATATAGATTCTAAATAATCCTCGTAATGGATACACGTCCAAAAAAATTAAAATATTAAATATAATAGTATGTTTATCATATATAAAACAAATATTTGAATAGTCTATTTTTTACTGAACTTCACTTCTAATTTAATTGTACGTATTGATATCAATAATACCGATACTTTGGTTATCGATACAATTCAGAAATATGCTCATCACTACACACCACCTTCTATCCACTTGGCTTCTTCGAAAAACCACTAACCTGTTCACCGAACTTTTCAATTATAACCTTGAATACGAGAAAGTCCTATTTAAGTCCTTTTCGAACAGAATTAGATTTGAACTTGAGACTTTCATCTCGAATGAGAATTTTCAATTTAATTTAATTTTCTTAATAAATACCGTTAGTTAATTACAGTAAAAGTAGCTTGACTTGCATGTCCAGGTGATAATGGAATCGAGTTTCAGAAACCGCAAAAACGACTCTACGGGAACCAGACAGAATAAAATAATTTAAAAAATACGAGAACGAGTAGACAGCTACTTGAAAAGAATTCTGTTAACCATCTCTGAATGCAATTTATTATCATATTTCAAAGGACTAAAAAGTTGTCATTAATTATATTTCATAATAGCTGATGGTTTCCTTTTGTTAACATTTCTATAAAATTTTAATTAATAATATACCCCTAATTATTGAATTACAATATTTTGTGTTAAAGCTCTTGACAAAAATTCATTAAAAAATTTTTTCATAAGTCGGAGATGCATCTGCTGAAAGCACATGCGTCCGATGCAATTGACCTGTAACAAAAGCGTACTTGCATCGCCATCTAGTGCCGTTTCAGCTTCTTTAGAGATAACAGTGAATTCGTCATTGAGTGAACGAAAACAACATGTAACGTCAAGTGTCAATCTAAAACCGAATAGAATCGATCTAAAGTGTTAGTTATCGATTATCTGCTTTGTATTGATAAATGTGAGTACCACGAACAAAAATTCATTTATTTTTATTAAATATTTATAAACATCAACAATGTACGACCACGCCTTATGAATTTATAATTTTATCATTCGTCTTTTTAAAATGATGGAGATTACACAATACTGTATCGTACTCCAGGGCACTTTTATAAACAGATATAAAAACAGTTAACCCTGAGTTTCAATCAAAACTATATAATGGATGCGAACAAATTATGTACTGTGATGAAGTGTTATGATTTTTTTCTTATGAATTAAATCATGCTTTAAGAACAGAATCGTCATAATTAATCATACACCTGTTAATTCTGACTTTTTGTTCTACTAAAAGAGTAAAAATCTAGTATCACTGACTTACCTATTGCTCTAGACACGCTCAATTCTCCATTGACTCTTAGAGTTCCCATAGTTTGTATCACTACACCTCCCATTTTTTCTATTCTCTGCCTTTCATCCTAAGAGAACAGATCAATAGTGTTTTTATATAATATAATTAATTTTTTACACACTGTAGCTATTGCATGTCACTTGTTTTTTAAACAAGCAAAATCTAATCCAAATTTTTTGTCAAATAAATTATTAATTTTCTTATATTATTGTTGAATATTAATCATTAAATCAATTGTATTTAAAAATGACAGAAATAGGGACACAAATAGATAGCGACAGAAGATTATTGGCATTCAAAGATTATGAAAATTATTTAGATTCTCTTATAACATTTGTTGACCTTGGTTATTTAGGAAATCTTAATGTTGCACGTGAAATAGCCGAGCTTGGCTATCGTTGTACAGGTGAAACATTGAGTAGAGAAGCATTTTATAAACGTGTAAAGGCTGTAAAGGATCTATTTTTCCCACTCTACAGACCATACGAATTAACATCAGAGTTAATAACACCTGCTAATCCAGTAATGCAAGAACTAGCACTTCGGGAGCGTTTAAATAGGTTAAAACTCATATCTACCATTATATTCATAAGAAATTTAACAAGACTTCAATTTGAAATCTCTGGCTACATTGACTACAGTGAAAGACTTGAAAAAGAAAATTGGGTTCCATATTTCGAAGGAAAGAAAAAAATATGGCCACGTGCATCGGATCTTGCATATTATCATTGGAGAACAGGGAAAACATGCATAAACGAAACATCTAATTATCAACCAATTATAGACCCAAAACATGGTCTTCTATTCAAAAACTGTCATGATAGACATTTGATTAACGTAAATCCTGAAGCATCTTCACCAGGTGTATGTACAACACGAATAAGAATATTTTGCCTTCAATACGAACATGTAATATTGTATGATCATATTATACGGAGTAAAAGTTAAATAAATATTAGAAATTCATAAATACAAAGTTCAGTATATTTATAAGATTAAAATAATAATACTTACTTCACGATTAAGTCTATGAGGATTCACTAATTGAACAATACTGTCGCGTTTTATTAGTATAGCCGGGGAATCTCCTACCCAGGCAACATATAATTTTTTATTCATTATTAAAGTGCAGACTGCAGTAGTTCCACCACATACTTTCTGAAAAATGGTATTAACGGTCTTTAAAATACTGATTACTCATTATATATCTCTCCAAAAGATATGCTACTGTAGATAAACATTTATTTCTTACTTGTGTCTTGTACTTTTCTCCAAACTGTGTGTCTGTAATGATGAACGCGTGATATAAGGCAGCCTCTGGATTGGTAGGATAATATATACTTTCTGTTAAATACTGATGAAGATGGGTAGCACAGTACACAGCTGCATCTTGTCCTGCATGCCCATCAAATACTGCATAGTAATTTACTATAAAGTCATCCTAGAATTTGGCAAATATATTGATAATTAAACATTCATTATTTGTATCTATTACACACTAACAGACATTCAACATAAAAGATTACCTTAATACCAAATGTAGTGTGTAGATCATGTAAAACCATATAGCGGTCTTCCATTGATCTTCTACAATTTTTGTATCCACCAGCTACTACTTGCGGTAGTGGTGTACAAGGAGGAGGTGGCAATAATGCCAATCTACTATTGTCCAAATAGCGAGTACATATTTCGTTAACTTTAGCAATAACAGCTTGCATTAATCTTAACGAAGTATATGCTGCAAAGTAAAATATATTATTAAAGATTTGCACCTTTTTTTAATCAAACGAATAAGTAAAATTCATTATTCAGATATATACCTTTCTCTTCTGATTTAAATCCACAATCTTTTGGTTGTTTTTTGCACATGGAATCAATTTCTTGTACTACTTGATGAACCAAGTGTGCTTGTAAACTTGGTGGACATTGCCTGAAATGTTATGAATCTTTTTAACATTAGTCCTCTACTGTAACTTCATAATAACTTCAATTTATTTTTAATAACAAATATTATGTATAGAGCAAATTTCATGTTACAAAAATAACTCTGAATACAGGAACCATAAAAATAGTTGAAGCAAAAGTTAATAAACTATTTAACGATATTAAATATGTATAAATTTTAACTTATAAAATTCGAATTTTATATATTATGCTAAAAATTATATTATTAAAATTACAACTATGGATTTTTCATTCAAAAATTCTTTAAAACGTAAGCATAAAAATGATTTGAAATTAACCTTTAAGAAACACATTGACATCAATGTTTATTTGTTGATACTTTTTATTTAATACTTCTATAATACCTAATGCATTTAAACGATAAAAATTATATTAAAATTCTTTTCTATAATATTCAATCATTTTTATTTTCTCAAACTTTTTTTAATCGCAATTTAACAATTTTCCCTGAACTTAAAGTTAATACATTTCTTACCGGATTCGTGTATGTATACTAATTATATAGTCATGTCTTATTTATTAAACAATTATTACTTTTATACGGCCGAAATATGACTATATTTAAAATATATAGAAAAGAATACATTTATATACTTCTCTGGACGGTTACCACCAATTTTTGAAAAATGGCGGTTCTGGTAGCGCGGTAAGCAATGTCTTGACATTAAAAAAGTTAGTACTCACATTTCAAACATTTTCCATTTAAAATAACATACCCACATTTAGACATGAGAAACTTATGGAATGGAGAAGTAACTTGTAAAGGGCATTTACCTCCGGAGCAAGAAAATTATGTTACAAATGATGATTTCATCAAAATAGTGGATACAAATAACAACGACGAGGTGCATGTTCAATAGTATTTAGAATCGCAACCTCTCACGCGTATATCTATTAATACAATTTAAAAAAAGACTTTGTTACAGTCTTTGGAACAACATCCCGGTCAGAAACCCGACACAAGGTCCGTAGAACATTACCGATCGGAACGAAAAATGGCATCGATCGTTGGTACTTATCAACACGAACGCAATGAAAATCTCGACGAATATTTTAAAGCTGTGGGTATGTTAAGAACAACAAATGAAAATGGATGTGGCGTACCTTACGATGGAAGCAAAAACAAATACAATTTATAATTTATAGAGACTGAATCGGTTAATTTTGCTACTATATTGTTAATTAGATGAAGTATGTTTTTATAACCATTTATGTTAGTAATGCAGTTATTACTCTGTTCCTCTGTTCAAAGTATTAAACTTTTTTCGAATAAATATTTCGCTTACTTAAGAACCTCTAGCATTGAGTTCTATTAAATGAAATTATGTACCGATAGGTGTACCATACATTCCGCGGAAAATGATGATCATGTCCAGTCCGCGACTGGAAATATCAAATGACGGTGACAAATGGACCATTCGTACCATTTCCATGATACGCACAGTAGAAATAACATTTACTCTCGGCGAAGAGTATGAGGAACACATGCCTAATGGAGTTACACTGAAAGTACTATTTGTTTTGTAATATTTTTTATCTATTGACTTCATTTAACCCTTTTTTACTGCCAGCCCTAAATACATGATATTCGAAATAAGCCACTCGCTCGGGACCGAACAGTTGCTTATTACAAAGTAGGTATGCTATTCGGCTTTACGAATGAGAGATCGTCAAGATACTTACGTCACTCGTAGAAACGAGTGAGAGATCCGAGGTAGCGGCAAACGGACCTCTCACTTTGCGAGCCACTTCAAACAAAGAAGAGGGGATAGCGAGTTACTTACAATTTCGAATTTCGTAGCAGAGACCACTTGCTTATTTCGAGGCAATACTGCTACTGCCAGATCGGCCCACAGCAGTTTTAGCATAAATTACCTATGACCGATATATCGGCTCACTGGCAGTAAAATGGTTAATAAAAGCAAAAAATCAAATCCTTATAGTTTGCGCTTCCGGTCATTTTTAGTTGCTCGATATAGTTTTAATACTATTATCTTGTACGTTATCTCATGTAATCTTACTATTGCTATAAATTTAAAAGCGGTCGAAATATTCATTCGAATATCTTTGTTTAGAATGTGACTGCAATGGAAGGAGATAGTCTAGTGACAACTTCAGTCGGGCCAGATAACAATAAACTGGTGCGGAAGTACGAAGTTACAGAGGACGGTGTGGTTTTGGTACGTTTCATTTACATATACATTTATCCTATATATTCTTTTTCTACAAAGTACGACGATCACTTAAATGGAAACAGGTATGAAGATTATGCGTTGAACAGGTGTTCTCTCTATTTTCAGACAATGACCCACGAAAAGAGTGGCCAAGTGGCAAAACGTTATTTTAAGCGGCTTTCGTAAACCTCGATTATATTTTGGGGAGAAAATATTTTTGTATTTTATTCGTCATACATTAGCTTTCTACATGTAACCTGTTAACTTTTTTTGTATATTTATATTTACATTGTAATAATAATTCTTCTATGATATCTTTTGAAAGTAGGGTTTTTAATAACGGAAAAGAACCGAAAGAATCGTGTAGGAACGAAAGCCGCGTGAAAATGCCTCCACTTGCCGGAGGGAAAAAAGTCGGATCGATCGTAAATGTTCCCACTGTTATTTAAAGTATAAAGCCCCGCCTACTTTTATTATCCGTCACGTGTTGCATAGTATACAAACAATGTTGTACTGTCAGTTGTGTTAAATAAAAATAAATTCTCGCTTGAGCACACACCAGTGTATGTTTTATTAAATTTAAAATTGTTAATATCTTTCGTTTATAGATATGAACACAACGGAAAAATAGAATTGCGAAAAGATATCAGTAGAATCTATATATGTATCTTATAAACCGTGTCTGTTTACATTCGACGCCGGCCGCCATAGAAGTAATCAACGAATAAACACATCTGATGTCCGCCCACGTATTGACATGCCGCAATATTGTTCATTTAAAAAGTGCATTCACTTACGTCGTGTTGAGGTACTGTAGAGTTATGTTGATGATCTCACCGACCATCTCGGCTTTGGTCACATTATATGAGCTGACTGAAACTGGCAGCTGATCATGCGGTTTCACCCTAGAGATGAATTCAGTGAAAAAGCGGCTGTACTCTCCTAAATAATCACCATCGATGCAATCTTCCGCCATTCTTCCTTGTGTTAATAAAAAAGTTCAAATGACCGGCACGCAGTTTTCTCAACACAAAGAACACAACCCTCCGCGACCGTTTACGAGATGTTAACACGATACTCTTGGAGTTGTATCTTTATGAGGCAAATCAATGCACATGGAAATATAAGAAAGAACGTGTTTATGTGTCGTTTCTGTCGTTTTTCCGACAGACCAATGCTCTAATCAACTTTATTCGCTGATAGGCGATATTTGTATTTAGGTTACGTCACTCATTCAACGTCGCGTACGCACGTAACACTACAGGCCGGATCGAATGACGCGTCTCTCTATTGTGTGCGTCCCTCTGAGAAGTGGGGAGAATTTGCCGCGACGTTTAAAACATTATCTCTCCCGCTTTCTTTAGGTCCGGCGTTACTTTTTGCTTTTCCTTTTGCCACTGACCACTTGCGGATTGACTGTCGTAACGAAGGAAAAAATGCGTAACGGAATTCATCGAGTTGTGTACTGCGCATGTCCGATACGGACCTTTGCGTTCGCGGTACTGTAGCTGTGTATACTACAGTACTTTGGTTCTTTGTTAGATTCAATTATTATTATCTTTCTTGTAAAGTTGTTCCAGTGCGTTAGTACACTTCTGATTTCAGTAATACCTTTAAAACTTATTATATTTGTTATTTCTTTACAAGTTTCGTACATATTTCAAATCTATTGACTGAAATGTAAAGCAACATTATTAAAAATCCTTGTACTTTGATCTATTATTTTTATCTCTATTGGTATGTCTGTGATTAATATTAAATCTAATTTTAAAAAGCTTCTTTTAAAATACAAAATTTGTGTTATGAACTATTGGAAATAATTTATGAAGTAGCATAAAGAAATTCCCGCGTTACCAACATGGCGTTTTTTAAACAGCTGAACGCGATATAAGTTTATAATTTTCAAATAGATTAATTAACTTATTTTATTCATATTACTATGTATTTGTGAACATATATGTACAATCTATTACATACATAGTACATTTAGATAAATAACAATTTTTTATTAAAATAAAAATATCACATTAAAGTACAAGAACTTGCTTTATTATTGTGTTCTATATTATTTTGTTCTTTCTCTTTTTTTAGTTTTTCACTTGCAATTCTTAAATAGGAAACTTTAGCTCTTTCTTCTAACCAGTCAGGTAATGGTGCATTCCAGTCTTCTGGTGGTTTATCTCTTCTTTGCCAAACATCATTATTATAATGACCACGTAATCTGGCTATTCTACGTTGTTTCTCACTGCTTATTAATTTGTCCTATGAATAATACAATATTTCTTATAATATATTATTAAAATAATTAAGTTAATAAAAGTTACTTTCTAATAATGTAATCTTCGACATACAAATGCTTCTTTAGAATTATATTTTTTCCATAAGTGACAATTGTCATAATCAATCTTCCATTGTGTGCAATCTTGATATTCTCCAAATACAAAGTACTGATGAAAGCGTGCTGCTATGCTTTTACAATCATGATATTCTTCTTTATATAGTTCGCATGGCCTTAACTAAAATGTGCAAAACATAAAATTTCCATAATTACTGTATAATAACATTACTGCAATATTTACATAATATAAATGCACTTAGTGTTTAATTATATATATATATATTACATAAAAAAATAAGATATATCATTATACCATCCATTCTTCATTATATAATTTAGTTTCTGATTGGGGCTTCTCATTTTCAGTTGTACTCTTTGGTTCAGGCATTTTTCTTTCTTTTAATTAAGACTATAGACACTGATATTCTTTGATTACACAAAAAATGCAAATTTATTAAACACTTTATTCATGTAACAATGATACAAGAGTTCAGTAACCATGAACACTTAAAAAGTTTGAATAAACGTATATTGCGTAACATTCAAGTTAGAAAATGTGTTCGCCGATAATAGTGCTATGTTTATTAAAATTAAAGATCTCCATGTTTATTCAACGCTTACTAAAATTTATAATTTGTAATTGAAAAAATAAAATTAGATGTTTTTAACAGTAGCGCTATGATCGTGTATTAACTTTATCTTAACTTATATGTATCTGTTCAGTGATGCTCTCGTCAATTAACTTTTATGAAATCATACTTTAATTTTTATTGAATTTAATATATGTATTATCGCTGTTAACGTTTTTAGCTATCTACTACAATTTTTTTTAAATTTATAACTTATTGATTGTAAATTTCTTTGAAACATCGAAGGATATATGCTATCAATGAGCGCCACTGGCTTCCGCCATTCCCTCCGCAACCCCTACTTTCCGTCGGGAACGTATCGTCTTGTTATGATTGTAGTTCTCGTTCTTGGTTCGAATTGGAAGACGTGTTCGTACCGTTGAAATCCGTACCTGCTGTCAGTTTCCTAACCTCTTCGCTAACGAATGTTCCGGTGTTTCAAATTGTATTAAGTTAGTAGTGACTTATAACTCGTAACATGATGTCACGGTCAGTGCGTGCAGAGACTCGTAGTCGTGCCAAGGATGATATTAAGCGTGTAATGCAAGTCGTTGACAAAGTTCGCCATTGGTAAATCTCTTAACATATTATAGATGCACGAGGAAATGTCGAAAGATCTCATAAAAGAATATGTAAAAAAAAAAATAGTAAAACTGTATGGGTATCAAAAAACGGATTAAACTTTTTCTTACTTGCGAGATTTAATTGAGATTTTGCATTACACATGTCAGCTGTAAACAAACTTCTGTAGTTCTGAAATGTTTCATGCGTGTTGATTGAGTAATAGTGTTCTATGTCTGCTTTTTTGATAACAGTAAAGAAGGTAGCTTCTCTGTCTGTTGTTTCGATATTGGCTTTAGGAATGCACTTTTCATGCCAATACTTTTATAGGGAAAAGAAATGGGTTACTATAGGAGAGACTACTATGAAGATTTATAAATGGGTGCCTATATCAACTCTTGATCAGGTAAACAATATAATACTATGTGTAACAGAATACAAAGAGTGAAAATGTGTGTTTTGTTGTTTAGAAAAAGAAAGGAAAAACAGTTGCAGACAAAGAGAACGGTTTGCCAAGAAAGAGTGGATTAGATTCTTCAAATTCTAATTTTGGTCTTACAGAAGATTCTAACACATGTGAGTTAAATTGGAAAAAGCTATGGAATATTTATTATTTTTGATTGTTAAGTCTTATAAAGCATATTTTAATTGTTAGGTTTTTCAACGGTTAGCGATTCTCAAGGATTAACTGACTTTTCTGCACATCTGGGATTTTCAGAAGATTCAAACTCACAAAACAGTGAACCTGCACCCAAAAGGTTAAAGACTGATTAAAGTTTATTCTGTAACTGTTATTCAGAACATAAGATATTTAGGAAATCATTTATACCTTTTACAAATTTGCACACTTTAAAGTTGTCTGAAATCGTAACTGTGAATGAATGGGTTAAAAAAATTTCTTTATTTTATATTTTACTATATGTTTAGTAAAAGTTCTTATGTATTGAAGGAAAGAGTAATTGTATGAACATCAATTACATTTAGTGAATTTATTTTTTTATACATGGATTTATTATAAAGTTTCAAGATTTAATTTAGAAGTTAGAATTTATGTTAAATGTTTAGTATGTTTTAAAATCTACTTTCAAGAGAATGGAGAAAGCATAGGGCAAAATTATTATTAAAAACTAAGTGTACATTCTCTTAACTATCTTTATATTATTGCAGTATTATTTAAGTTCTCAGATACACACCAAATTTTCATTAACTTCAAAGTGATATTCTATAGTTTGGATTGGAGAATTACAGCATTATAACAAGATATTGGTTTTTGCTGTAAATGAGTATTTTAATAATATTTATGTGTAATGTTACATTATCTTTAAGCTAATTGTTTCAAAACATAATCATATGTTCAATAGTTTTGTGATAATTAAAAATCATTGTATATATTGCAATCATCATTTTTCATAATTAAATATTTTAAAATGAACTTGCATTCCTCCAGGTTACATTATAGCACCGTGATATGTACAAAATAAGCTTTGACACTTCTAAATAAAACAATACAGTTACAAATGCTTGAAATAATTAACAAGTTTTTGAAAGGGCACTCAAAAATTATAATAAATTTATAGTTTAATTATTTTCTTTTAATAAAAGACGGTTATATGTAGTATTTATAATTGCTAAAAGTCTGCATTTATGAAAAAAATTATTTTATTAAATAATGATTATAATTTCTGTATGATATTTGTACATATGTATTCTTGTTTATTATTTTAATCATTTCTGTATGTATAAAGCATGTACAGAAGAATATGAAACAATATTGAATGTCTTTTTTAATACCTCTACTCTATTGTAATTAATCGTAACAAAATGTTTATATTAGAAATTTTATGCTTTTAAAGAAGTCTTAAATATTGAATCTCCATAGATATTACAATATACAATATTAATAAAAAATATAATATAAAATACTTTCATTAATCTCTGCCCTTTTTTTAAATTTTGTACTTATATACAATCTATGGACTATGAGCTACATGTATAAGTAATGTCTATTAAAAGAAAGATAAAAAATAATGAAATGTGATTCTCTGAAAAAAGAAAGAATCAATATGTTTACCAAGGCAAGATTTTTCCATCATACTGAACAAAACAGCCTGTGTGTTTCTCAGTTAACGAATTCAGTGTATTCAAAATGTTAGCAACACTGGTATCAATATCCATGGATGCATTATTTCCTCCCATGTCTGTACGTACCCAACCAGGATGTAAAGAGCTGACTAGGATTCCATCTTCCTTTAAATCAATGCTCATTGACTTTGTTGCTGCATTAAGTGCTGCCTAAAAGTTACAGAAATATTATCAAACTTATCAGTTACTAATTCTACAATAAAATGAATATTACCTTACTACATCTGTAAGGGTAATATCCACCCACAGCATTGTCAGCTATACTTCCAAGAATGGAACTCATGTTGATAACTGCTGACCTGTGAATGTTCATCTCTGATTTGTTCTCATAGTTGTGAGATGCTGTTTTCAATAGTGGTACAAATGCCTTGAAACATATAAAATTAATTTTTATAATTTATAATTTTTCATATTTCTTTCAAAATTTTACAGGCTTACCTTTGTTAATAAAATTGGTACAACTGTGTTTACAAAAAACGTTTCTGTAAGTTGTTCTTCTTTAACCAGACCAAGTCGCGCGAATTTTGAACTGATCCCAGCATTATTGAATAAAACATTCAATCCAGCCTGGCCCACTTTTTCATTTACAATTTGCACTATCTTGTCATAGTTTTTTGTGTCGACCAGATCTTAGAAGAAAAAAAAAAATGAATAAACATATTTTTTTATAGATAGATAACTTTATTTCTTGCCTTTCGGCTTTAAAAGGGGGTTTGGCACGCGAATGCGTCTACATTATTTTATAAATTATATGCAATAAGATGATACAATATTTTTTTTTAATAATTATGTTAAAATATTTCAAGCTATATAAAAAAATAAAATGTATTATTGTATAATACACTTAAAAATGGTAAATGGTAAATTTTACGTGATTTTTGCGTTGTGCATTGTTAAATAAATTGTGTTGTATTAACTACAGTCTATTTACACAGAATGTTGTTCTATCTTTAAACTATAGTAACCATTTTGATCAATACTTTCCATAAAATAAATCAGTACTTTTCACTGAATAACTGTGTGCTATTATATTTGAAGCCTTTGTAGGAAATGTTTCTTATAAGTTTCAAGTAAAAATTGTAGCCGACTACAAATTGCAGTGAGTATATTTTTGAACAAATGATTTATTACGAGGTTCACTTTTACAGAAAACATAGCATTATTTAATTTTTTTGCTCAATACGAGTAGTAAATTATGAATTTTTGCGATATAAAATACAGAATCTGTTCCATGAAGCAAGATTAAGGTAATCTTTCACATTTTTTTAGTCAAGGTGACACAAACATTAGAGGACTCATTATCAGATAGCATAAGCACGTATCGATCAATACAACTTTAATGAAATTCCAACATTTTCATAACAGAAAGCACAAGCAATCTAATTGTTGACTTGTAAACAGTGCGATTTATTTCCAATCGTTTTTCTATTATTTTACACGTTCTAACATGAAACCTTCAACTTCAAAAAAGAAGAGATCCTGGTGCCTTAGCTGTCGAGAGAAGCCAAAAACTATGGATTCGGATTTTAGCGATCAAGAAAACGAGAACTCCACAGACCTTGTGGAGACACAAATCGATTCCTCAAGTAAGTGTTTTTTCGCTATTAAATTTAATATATTTATCATTAAACCTCTGATTTGCAAAGTATATTTAGAACATTTAATTATAGGAAAATTATGATAAAATTAAATTCAAATAAGTTTTTCAGTTGTCAATATATTTTATTCAATTGTTCAATTGTGGAGTGTCTTAGGCGGGAAAAATATTTCAGACCCTTCCTGAAGTGTTATGATAATCATAAAGGTATCGATGCTATCGAGAACAGAATTATATTTTTCAAGTAGGTATGTATCCTAAAAGTCACAATGATTACGAGCATTCGTTATCACAAAACATAAGACACCTTATGGCGTCCGCAAATTGTTAGAATTGTTATCGAAAAGCGTACACATTATCTAACAAGTTTACAGCTAAATTTCGAAAAATATTTACAAAGAAAATATTACATGAACGTAACTTGAAAAATATATCGATATATTGTTACATTGATTGCATGATGTAAGTCATGACGATTCATTTTATTATCTTTTTTTCTTGAAACTTGTAATAACCGCAGTATCGTAAGTGCATTTTATCAGCCGATATAGGTATTTAAATAATTACTTGCAAATTTTAAAAAGATTCTTCAGTATTTACCTGGAAACTTTTCTAGATTAAATTTAATAAAAATTATAATTTTATTGTGTGAATAATATACTTTTTAACTCTATTATCGGTCAATTATTTGTAAGAAATTTTTTAAATTTATTCTGATAAAATGATGTATTTTTTAAATCGTTATTATCTAACTTTTAGATTAATCCAGAACAATTTCATAAAATCTCCGATTTATTGCAAGATGCTTTCGAACATTATCACCGCAGAAGTGTACTAGATTACCCTCTGCGATAAAGCTACAGGCGGAATTGCTAGAAAATACAGAACGATACGATATCGTTACTCACCTATTTCGATAATATGAATGTTCTTCGATGTTTCAGACAAAGCAGTTAATTCCTGCGAGAAAACAGAAAATCTGTAAATTTAATCATAAAAACCATCGCTAAAGGAATCTTCTGGGTCGTGCCAATTATATACTCATTATTTGATGGAATAAGGCGTCCTTGAGCCTCTGCAATTCCCATTTAATTGGCAGAATTTATAGATTATTCGAGAACAACGTCGTATGACTAATTCTCGCCGACAATGAATAGCAAAATATGAAACATTTCAAATAAGAATGGTGTAAAAGAATGTTATGATTAAGAGTCCGTATGGGGTATCGATCGCTAGATCAAAATCATCTTGGTGAACCAGTTTTTAAAGTTCATTTCATAATAAAGCCCACGGTGACTTGCACGTCCCCATACTTTCTTGCGTAATCGAAGCAATTCTCGTTGCATGAGTCGCTATAAATCAGACTTAAAACTCGCACGCTTGTAGTAAGCGTATAACAGATGGCGGTAAACGAACCAAGCAGGCGTCAGTAACCATCAGTTCGCTCTTACTCCTGTACTTTTGTCTTTTAGTAGCAAAGAATCGTTCAATCGGGAAGTGTATTAGAAAGTACAACATTTTTTTCTCAGAAAATAGTATTCGTTACATTTTATTTAGAACGTGAATTTAAAAATAATTAAAAAAGAAGAATGGCACCAATTGGTAAGTTGAAAAGAAGCGCATCCGGGTATTGCGTAAGGTCTTTTCTCGTTAACTTTACAACCGATCTTACCTTTGCTTTATTCCTGTCTCGGCAAGTCGCGAAGACATTTTCTGGCGGTTGTGGTAACTTCACCAGGTGTTTTACTAGCCCCAGACCCAATCCTCGGTTACATCCGGTGATCAAAATCGACCTCATACTTTCAGCTGGTTTCTTCTTTAGAAATTTTCCTCGTCACGATTCATCAAAATATCGCAATTCTTGAGTAATTTTATTATCGTATATTGAGAAACACGAGTGTCATCGAGGTGACGTCACGTGGCCGTGATCGGCTCCCAATAATCATGGCGACGTTAACGCTGCTCGTGAGGCTTGTGTCATTTCGCTCCGCTCATGCTAAATTGCTCGAGTTACCATGGTCCAGATGTAACGCATTCCCTAGTGGCAGAACCGCTATGGCATGCCTCTGCTGTGAGTGGCAACATTCTTTATTATTTAGGTGCGAATGCGCCTTAATTTTCACATTGCCTGTAAATGTATGTTTCTCACACATTGACAGCAGTTATTATGCCGGCAAGGTTACTTTACAGGTTGTGATTCAACGATTTGTCGGGAAAATTGATTAATTTATGCACGATCTAACAATGAATTTTGTTTCTAAGTAATCCCATGTTAAAGTGTTTCTTTCAATGTTACATAACCTAGTTTTAATTATTTCTGTTTAGCAGCTCTATCTCTATGTTTGATAATTCTAGATCTATATATATGTTGTTTTTTTTTAGCGGATCAGAAATACACCTATGACCTCCTGGTTCTTGGTGGTGGATCAGGTGGGTTAGCAGCAGCCAAAGAAGCAGTGAATCTTGGTGCTAAAGTTGCTGTTCTTGATTTTGTGACACCATCTCCACAGGGTACATCTTGGGGATTAGGTGGTACTTGCGTCAATGTTGGATGTATACCAAAGAAATTGATGCATCAGGCTGCTTTACTTGGAGAAGCTATTCATGTATGTTCCCTGGTTAAGCAATAATTGTTTGTACAGTTTAAAAAAATGTTATTTTTTAGGAATCCACATCCTATGGCTGGGAAGTACCAGATCCAAACACTATTAAACACAATTGGGAAGCATTAAGATCAGCTGTACAGAACCATGTGAAGTCTGTGAATTGGGTTACACGTGTTGAACTCAGAACAAAGTTAGTGCCATTCTAATTGTGATTGTAAAATGTGTAAGTTTTTAAGTTGTTTCTATGAATTATTTTCTTCATTGTTACAGAAAGGTTGAATACTTCAATGCACTTGGTTATTTCAAGGATGCACATACCATATCTGGCAAAACAAAAACTGGAGAGGAAAAATTATTCACAGCTAAAAATATCTTGATTGCTGTAGGTGGTAGACCAAAGTATCCTGATATCCCTGGTGCTGTGGAATATGGTATCACCAGTGATGACATCTTCAGTTTGGAGAAACCTCCAGGAAAGACACTTGTTGTTGGTGGTGGATGTATCCTTTTTGTATAAAAATTATTAATATTAATTTTTTCAATTCTTCTTGCTTTGTAAAATTGAAAATGTGATTTATAATTAGCGTTTCATGGATACCCATGCTTTAAGTGAATGAAGATAATTCTGATGACAAAAAAAGTACGCTTCGGCTAGACTTGAACTCTGGCCACGCGATTACGACAAGGTCTCGATTACTTAAAAAAAACCGTACAGTTGTAGATAATTTTGTGCCCTATCCCGTAAAGTATGATCTTCATTGTTAAACGTTTCGTAAATCCTTGATTGTACATTGAAGTATGGGCCAATTATGATTATGTAAGACGTGAATGTCTGATATAATGTTTAGTTTTCCTTAATAAATAAATAAATAGACATTGGGTTGGAGTGTACCGGATTCTTGACCGGTTTAGGCTATGATACAACGATAATGGTGCGTTCTATTGTTTTGCGAGGATTCGATCAGCAAATGGCAAACATGATTGCCGGAGAAATGGAGAGACGTGGTGCACACTTCATTTATCAAGCTAAGCCACAGAAGATTGAAAAACAAAGCGATGGCCGACTTCTTGTCCATTGGGTTGATAAAGTACGTTTCGAAGTACAAAGCAAATAAAAATGATAGATATTTATGTAACAATAACTTTATCCTTTTTCTCTTAGGATGGACAGGTTCATCAGGATACGTATGATACTGTTCTATTTGCCATTGGTCGTAAGCCGCTCACACAAGAATTGAAGCCTGAAAATATTGGTCTTAAACTTGTTCCAGAGTCTTTCAAAATAGATGCAGTAGATGAGCAAACAAACATCCCAAATGTATACGCTGTTGGCGATGTTCTTCACGTGAGTTTTATATTTATAAATACTTTTTTCCTGTTAATTAATTACCAATTTATTGGAGCGAAGCTCCGCTGTTAAACGACTGACAGGGATTTTTTTGTGATTTTTTAACTCAAAAACTAGATTATCAATTTTGACCATTCTTTGCAAACTGATCACAGTGGTCACTGTAAGTGTTTATATAGAATAAAATCAGAGATCGGTGGACCCCTTGAGGAATGGTCACAGAAACCGATACCCATATTAAATCTATGATAGAAATCGGAATTACGCTATCGCGTGAGCTTTCAATTCCTGTTCTGCCACATTATCAACAGTTAAACACTATTTTTAATTGCTATATTGTGTCCCAACTCTGTTAAAGTTACTTTTACTGCAAATAAATCGCTTCGCTCCAGTGTGTCAGTCACGAAGCGGATGGCGGCCTAGTGTGTATGCTTACAAATTTTGTGTATTATAGAAAAAACCAGAACTAACTCCTGTTGCTATACACGCCGGCCGATTATTGGCAAGAAGGTTATTCGGCAACTCGACGGAGCAAATGGATTATGTTAACGTAGCCACGACAGTGTTCACTCCTGCGGAATATGGCTGTGTAGGTCTTAGCGAAGAGGCTGCAATCGCGATTCACGGAGAGGACAAAATCGAGATTTATCATGCGTATTATAAACCAACGGAATTTTTCATACCACAGAAAGATGTTTCTAATTGCTATGTAAAAGTTGTCGCATTTAGAAATGGTGATCAAAGAGTCCTTGGTATGCATTTCATTGGTCCTAATGCTGGTGAAGTGATACAAGGTTTTGCTGTTGCTATTAAGTATGTAATTTACTAAATTTTTTAATATTATTTCTTATTTTTTTTTTACTGTCATTTATTTTATTACTTTGTAATCTTGTTTCAGGTGCAATTTAACATTCCAAAAACTGAAAGGGACTGTTGGTATTCACCCAACAGTTGCAGAAGAATTTACGCGCATCTCTATAACTAAGCGTTCTGGGCTTGATCCTAAGCCGCAAAGTTGTTGCAGTTAAAATATACGTAACGTTAGGCTTGTTACGTTGCTCATCTTTGTGAATACGTTTAAGTGCGATCGATGGCACACGTGTTCTCGTGCTTATTGCATCGATCGTTAGTTTTGGAACTGATTTTCCGAGCGGAGCTCCCTTAAACCAAGAAATATTTTTTTATGTGGTACAAGTAGGAGAATTATTAGGATACTTCAGTATTTGAAACAGAATTTTTAGAACAATACATGGCACAATGCGCCGTATAAAAGATTCGCTTCTTTTATCTAACCCACGTTGCTGTACTTATAGTAATTTTTATAAATATAATTTTTTTCAAATGTTGATATATTTCAATGTATACATTTAAGCAAAAATAAACAGGCTTTCGACGAGATGATAGTATATTTAAAACATTTATTTAAGAAATAAAATACCTTTTATGTTTATTGTATTTCATTCAGTGCACTCTTTGAAATCCTCATTTCTATTTTCCTTCAAACTTTCTGTATTTCTTAATATTATTTACTACCATCCCAGAAAATGAATTGTTCGCTATGGTGCCATTGTTGGACACCACGCGATATCGCGGATATGAAATTTGTGTAGCAATTGGAAAGTATTAGCGGCTGCTCTGCTGGTATTAGACTAGCATGATACGAAGAAGTGATAGTCAATTGTGGATTAATTACGGATCGATCGTGGATCAATTGCGGATCAATTATGGGTCGATTATGAATCAGTTCGGAATGAGTAGTGGGTCAATTTCTAACAATAAGGTACATCCGTTGCGGATACAGTAGTGCAAATCAATGATCGATCAGCCTAGAATATCAAAATCTTCCAAACAAAATTATTCGCTCACCGTTTAAAACAGAATACCTCATTTAAAATTGGATCAAATGATTTAAGGTTTCTCGAGAAGCTATACAAATTAATTTACTAAGATATGTGCTTTTGTTGTTTTAAAAAGTTACAATTTGTTGAAATCGTGAAAAAAATAGTGAAGGGTAATTTTTCGACATATGTAGGTTATTTATTTGTGAAAGAAATATTGTTTTTTAACAATCAATAAAAGGGATTATTCATTAAAAATAAGAAGGTTGAATAATCATTTACTACTTTCAGCTTATAAACATTACATCCCGCGATATGTATGTACCATATACAACGAAAAATGACATCAAATATTTCCTCACCATCATCTTCAAAAGATTCTTCAATAAATTCTCAAAATAAAACTAACGATGCGGATGATTTTAAGGAAAAGACAGAATCTAACCTTTGTCCTTTCGTAAGCGATCCATTTAATTGATTCTAAAATTTAAACTCAACGATTTAATTTATGTATTTTTACATAGAAATTATTATGGTCCTTTGGAATAAACTCAGAGGTACCAATAATAAACTTAACCACCGAAAACCGAACGATCATCGCATATGCCTGCTCGCATGCTGTAATAATCTACAATTACGAATCAAAGGATGTGGTTAATCTTCAAGGTCATGTATGTTTCTCTTTCACTCTATTCTTATATGTATAGAGGTAATTCAAGTTTTTTTTTTATCAGCAAAATGAAGTGAAGACGATATCAATTTCCACAAACGGGAAATGGCTGCTGTCGGGGGATTTTGATAAGGATTCCGTGATTGTGATTTGGGATACTGAAACTGGGTAAAAAAATTATATTACAACAATAGATTTTAAACAACCACAGTAATAATAGTATTGAAATATTTTTAGTGTGCCAATTTGCACTTTATTTCATCCGCACGGTGAGCACGAGATGACCGCAGCAAGGATCAGTCCAAATGCTAAATACGTAGTTACCATTGGAAATGA